AAGGACAATTGACAATTTTTTAGAAGCTATTTCATATAACACACGAATAAAGCACGATTAACTTTATGTATACTTTAATTTTTGCGACTATTGCGATTATTATTATGATTATGTTTTATTATCTGTAATGTTGTGATGATATCATCACTTATGACATTTGTTAATTATTATATATTTTATAGTTTGAATCACAATTGAAATTATGTACTGTTTTATCACAAAATAAAATAACTATGTATATGGTATTTGAGTTAATCAACAAAATAATATAAAACACACTTTTTTTTCCGTGGGTTTTTTTAATTTTTGGGTTTTTTTCTGTGGGTTTTTTGTCCGTGGTCATTTTTTCCGCTTACCGTCTTTTCCATATCTATTATTCTCTCGCAGTTCCGCAGACGTTTATTTGAAATTTTGAACCACGTATTTTGAAATTAACTTTCATTCATAAAAAATTGCATGAATTGAAAAGTATAAAATAACCTTAACTTCGAATGAAATTATATAAGACCTAAATAGTTCCTAATTATTTAAATCTATAAATGTTACAGAATTGCGGACTTAAGACTTTTCATAATTGTATGTTATACATATTTATTTATACCTATATTTTTTTTTTGACTCAGCCTTAGTACTTATTTATCTTTTATTATTGAATCTTTTAATATTAAGGTGTCAATATTTATTTATTTATTGGTTTAAACGCCTAAAAGACTCAAGTAGGTACGCAGTACAGATAAATTATAGTAAATCACGGTGAATCTTAAATACCTACTTAAAATTATAATAATATCATAAGAAAAGAGAAAAAAAATAATATACAAATAGAATGCATGATATTAATACTAATTAAATTAGCAAATAAATATGAAGTAATTTATATTTAACACAAAAATAATAATAAAATGTAAGAGAAACTTGGTTTAACTTGTGGGAGACTTATAACAAATCATAATCTTTTAAATCATTAAATTCTCTGGCAATACGATCCAAGGTATTGTTATAGCCATAAGTAGTAATATAGTACTATGAAATGGAATTGAAAACGAAGGGCAGGAACGCGAATTACATTGAGGAACATGGAAATTTATGGAGTGTAATAATTCCGGACAGGATATAATGCCATTTATTAATTTGTTCATAAAATAAATATCTATGGATTTTCGTCTAGAAGTAAGGGAATTTAAATTTAGGCCGGCCTGAATACACGATGAAGAAATATTTTATGTTAAATTATTGTTAACAAGCAATTTTCTCTTTTAAGCGATGGGACGCAAAAACCTTTGGACTCTCTCAAGGGTTTCAACTAGAATTTGTGAGGGATTCCAAAGGACAAAACAGAACTCTAAAATTGGTCCAACTAAAAAGGTATATAGTGTTGTAAAACACAGCTCATTAATATACTCTTTCGTATTACGGATTAATAGGACGTGATACCTGTGTTGTCTCCGTCTTACAAGTGCGTACCATAGCAAATTTTACGCTCAGCAGAACACGTGTAGCTCCATTAGTTTAAAAATTAGTGCGAATTTACCTCTTCTAAAATCTAAAGGTAAGATTATTATCTAGTCAACCTCATAGGTTTTTTATTATATTTTAATTTTAACGCGAATTATGAGTATTTTAAAATTGTAATTTTTTTATACATCTTAAAATACTCATAACTCGCGTTAAAATTAAAATATAATAAAAAACCTATGCGGTCGACTAGATAATAATCTTACCTTTAGATTTTATAAGAGGTCAATTCGCACTAATTTTTAAACTAACGGAGCTACACGTGTTCTGCTGAGCGTAAAATTTACTATGTTACGCACTTGTAAGACGGAGACAACACATGCGGGTATCACGTCCTCTTAAGAAACCATGACTCGTAAGTACTTTAGAGCAAATATATTAAATATGGGGAGAAAATAATAAATTAGGTTGGAATACTACCCCCCGAATCATGATATGTATTAATTTCAACTATTTGATCACCACAGATATAATAACATTATTTATTTTAGTTTTGGAACGAAAGAATGACATTTAAAAACATTTTGCTGTATTTAACTTAAGTCTGTTTGAGGGACCAATGATTGGTCACCAATCACTTAAGTCTATCAAGGTCGTCTTGAACTAAGATAGAATTCTCAGATGAAGATACATTAGCATACCTACATTTTTAGATCGTTCACAAATTATTTGAAATATGAATTAATTTTTGAAATCCATTAAACATAATATTATGTAAATTTATTATTGTTTAATGTATTTTGTATGGTTGTATTTCTCAATTTCTTGTGGCTGCAGATATATTAAAAGGATGGCAGACTATTAGCGCCTAATTTGTTTTCTCTCTCTAACCAACACGTAACATAATCAATTTACGAATAGCATAGCCAATGCAGCCAATGCACAAGCAATGGTAGCTTAAAGTTTGACAATAGGTGAATTCATTCCAATATTAAAGGTAACAACACAGGATTGTTTCTGCTAAACATAAATTTGTTATGTTGCATGTGGGGCAGAGAGAGAAAATAAATTGGGAACTGACATCCTTCTTAAATCTTAGCTCCTTCTCACATTATTTGTTGTAAATAATACCTACATGTGCAAATTATAAATATATGCACACAATTTTAACTTTTGAATGGATTAAGTACTTAAATCAGTTGATGATGTATATAATTTACCTTTTTTTATTCTGTTATAGATGGAGAGCTCTCGAAGGAACGTTTGACTATTTTAGTTACGGCAAATATGACGGGAACCAAAAAGAAAAAACTTCTTGTAATCGGAAAACCTAAAGATCCTCAAAGTTGTAAGGGTATAAAAGATTTACCCATTCAATATGAACATAATCAGAAGTCTTGGATGACAAGTTTAATTTTTAAACACTTTCTGCAGCAGTGGGATATGGATTTATTTCAAACATTTCAAAAAGCATTGCTTTTAATTGATGATTGTCCAGTTCACTCAGGGCACAACAAACTTAGATCAATTAAGGTGGTCTATTTTCCCTACAAGTCATCAATTCAACCTATGAACCAAGGCATTATCAAGTCCCTTAAGTTTCACTTTAAAAAAAAACTTATACTTCACCATGCTAAACAAATTGAAAATATATCAATTGCAAAAGTTGATATATTCCAAGCAATTTGCATGTTGGAGTCAGCATGGGAGCAAATTTCGCCACAAATGATTACAAATTGTTTTGGTAGTGCCAAGTTAAAAGAAGTAGAAGAAAAATCAAGTAAAGAAGAAAGTTTAGTTTCTTGGGCAGCAAATCTACTTGTTTATGACTCCGAAGCACTTCAACAATTTGAAAATGTAGACTCTGAACTTATTACTTCTAGTCAATTATTGGGTGCTGAACATATTAATCATGGTAATAATGGAGAAGAAACAGACAATGATGAGGAAGTAGATACCAGAAATGAAAAAATTACATTGAGTCAAGTATTTGATGCACTAGACAAATTAAAACAATATCTAGCAACTAATGAACATTTTCCAAAAAGTTATGATCACACTAAACAACTTCAAATACTATTAGAAAATAAACTGTACAAACAACTAAATTCACAAACCAAAATTACTAACTATTTCAAAAAGTTAATATAATTTTGTTGTTAAATTAGTAATTTCTAATTATAAAACAGACCTTAGGTCACAAACAAAAATCAAACGTTGGATGTTTGAATCAGAGTTTATCACCCGAAATAATGTATTTGGTATTGAAATCCAGTATTGGTAATTGGTACATTTTTTAATATTTCGTGTATAAACAACACTTACAATAATTGAACTCAGGTATTGCGTGTTTTGAAATAATGTGAGATATTGTGTTATATTAAAAATGTTGTACTATTTTGTTAGTTTGCTGTTTTTTCTGTTATTTTAAAACTGTATTTAATATTTATTTTCTATTTTCTGTGCTACATTTTTAAATACAAAATATCAATACTTATGAATGACGATTAATGTCTTTATTAATGCTTATTAGCAATATTAATATATTGTTCATAGTTTTATTAAAATAGTAACAATTAATAATATAATTTTTATATTTCAGCATGGAAAAGTGTTCACATTGAAAACTGTAATTCGTATTTCTGGAAATTGGTTTTTAATTTTTCTGATTTTTGACAATATTTTTATTTCCAGTATCCAATTTAATTGGTGTCAGCTATTGCCATTATTTCAGGTACAAGATTAGGTATATAGGGTATAAGATTAATTTAGGTGCAAAACCCTGATATAAATGGGACAAGACTTCGTTCGCCCAAAAATAAACTTTCGCTTTTCGCCCAAATATTTTAAAACTACTTTTCCTTTTCGCCCAAGAATATTACAGCACTTTTTGATCACATTTTTATCATACACAATTTGGGAAACACTTAATTAAAATTATTTATGCCCATCTACAATGGTCTGTGCCTGGTTGAATGTTAAAAAAAAAGTACAATAAAAAATAAGAACAATCAATGTTTCTCAGCATCAACCGTATCCTCGTGGTACTCTCAGGGTAATGCTAAAAAATGGTTTCAAGTAAGTGTTTCCCAAATTGTGTATACTAAAAATGTGATCAAAAAGTGCTATAATATTTTTGGACGATAAGAGTCCCACCCTTATAAATATTGTTAACTATTAGGAAATAAGTGGAAATCACTCATTAATAAAATATTGCTTAAATATTTTGAATTTTTAACATTATTGTTAAAAATAAAATGTCAATCAATAGGTATTAATTGTATAAAAAAATATTACAAAAATATTATATAATATGGGATTAAGTGATACCATGTCTTCACAGAAATCTGCATATAAAAATATTTTGGTTTGAAAGTACATATGATAGGTGGTAAATCCTGCATTGATAAAATATTAAAACGTTTGTAATTTTAATAGTAGTAATATAAAGTAAATGATTAAAACATTATGACAACACTGCAGTCTTAACTATACATTTCTAACAACATGTTTATAATATGTAAACGTTTTACAAGACATTTAGTTGTTGTTTACACTTAAGTTTATTTAACCTATAGATCTGGTACTTGTTGTATTCGTTGCAGATCCTTCCCGTATAGTTTTCCTCCTCAGACATACTCTAAATGCAAATCCCACTGCCCTACATAGTCGGTCGCTCTATTTAAAATGATTAACTATTATTAATTTTTACAAGTATATAATAAGCTTATATTATATTTCTTAAAGGATAAGAAAAATACGTACCGAAAGATCTGTAACAATAATCAAATAACACAGCCATCTGTTATTGCGAGAGTCTCTGCTAGTAAAGAATAACTGATCTGCATTGTCTGTGGTCGATGCACAAAATATTACATTTTCAATAGTTTGAGCCAGAATTAAATTCTAAAAAATATACACCTTCTTATTTAAAATCTGATCATTAGTATGGACTAGAAATTTTAAATTCTATGAATATTTTAAGATTTATATTATGTAGCATGCAACTATGTTATTATTTAAAGGGATTGAAAACAGACAAAATTTAAGGAGTTTAATATTGATATTTTTTTTTTTATGAGCTTGCATTTGTGAGTCAGGACTTGTAAACATGCGCTTAGCAACTAGTAAGCAATCATACATGTGTGTGGCAATGTGTATAAATGTATAATACAGTGGAGCGCTCCAGCACTTGTGAAGTACAACTACAAGTATGAAGTAACCACTATTGACCAAGTACTTACCCCCATAAAAAACCAATATTTGGAACTAAGCATATCATATAATGTTTAGAAAATATTAAACTATTTGAGCTTATGGTAATCATGAGCATTGTGTGCATTGTGTGTGAAAGGTAAAAAGGATTATAAATTTAAAAATAATTTGACTAAATCTTCGTCCATGCTTATTAATTATTATTTATAAGTAGAATGTTAAGTTTACATACCTACATAATATTATATATATTGGCTTTTTTATATAGATATACCTAATTTACATCCAAAAATATTATTGAAGTATATTATATTATAACCTTTGATATTTTGTCAACAATTCTTAATTCATATCCTGTTATCCATAAAATAGCAGAACTTGGATGAGAAATTCCTATTTTATATTCCTGATATAATTTAGCAAACGATTCACGGCATATTTTTGAATTTGTGGGTTCCGATACTTCAACGCATCCCAAATACTAGAAAAATAAAATGGAAAAATGTGTTATCTTACACTTACGTATATAAGTATATCACCTTCTTATTATTAGCTAGTATTTTATGCTTAAGTTATTATACTTACGCCGACGTTAAAAGAACAATTTCCATCCAATATGCCGATTTCGTCTTGGGGCCATCGCTTAATCGTATGATTCACGACAGGTTCACAATTTCTTCTTATGTAATTTGTCATTTTATTTTTACACAACTTATGTCTGAATTGACAACAAGTCGGCAGTGGCTGGGCGGCTGTATAACCAACTACAGTAAGTACTAAGTGTTAATCAAAAATATAGGATTATTTAATTGTTATTAATCTTTGTATACAATACGAGCCATATTATTATTATATTATGATGGGAACACGTGGGGGCACGTCGTGGTGTTGTACACGTGTCACAATACGGAATAATATTATAATATTTTTCGAAAATTTAAAAAACAAGTTACCTTCTTTTTCTTACAAATTAAAGTACAATATAGGTACTATAAGCAGGTACTAGAGGTATCTACCGACCGAACATTGGTAGGTATAGGCCAAATGCGTATGGACGCGTATGGTGATAAATGATAATGCTTGGAAATTCCAGTTATTTGTATAATTATAATAGGTCCCTAATTAACCGTGAATTATCCTATTAAATTACATAAATTATTAAAAACCTTTACCACACTTAATTTGACATTGATGATTGGTGTATGTATCATTCATAATTTATAAACATATTATGTAATAGTGCATTTTTTAAGGAATTTTCACTGGGCGACGGAAATTATATTCTCAAAAAAAATATTAAATCATAGTGAGTACGATAAAGTTATTTCAAGCTCGCCCTTCATAATTTATTTAAAATAAAATATGATATATTTTATTCTATACTTGATTATTTTTTTTTACATAGGTAGTATTAGTTTTATACTTTTTTTTAAAAAATTGAGCCGTCTAGTCTTTAAAAATAGTCAACTAAGCGACACAAATTTCACCTATAATATATAGTTTAAAAAATGCACTGACATATTACAGTTGCGTGTGTCCAGACTTCTGGTTATAGACACATAATAATATGTGATCGTTCAATTTATTTCTATTCTTTGGAAATCATACCTTTTATATCTTATACGAATAACTCAAATAACTGTAGAAGTAATTATTAATTTTCGAAAATGCCATATTGAATGGCCGGCTGGACATAACGGCATGCTCTTTAATTTACAGTAATATCAATATATCATACAAAATATAGGCACCTATACGGCTATACATGACAAATTAATATTTGTTTTCGTGTATTGAAAATGGAAGAATATTTCCAATTGTTTTATTTACTTTTCTATGGAATAGTATCTTCGTCAACTACTGCAGAGGTCTGCATCAGGCACTGTGATGAAGTACCTACTGAACTAAAACGGAGGTGACCGGATCACGTATCGCGCGTATTTGAGGAATAAAATAATATTATTATAACGACTTTAAAGTTTAAATCGAATAAATGATAAAATGTTGATAGCGATTAGCCATTAGCGGTGTAGTAGAAATCGGAAATACGACGAATCGTACGCCGAGCCGTTGACGTTGACCGAGATCGTGTAAAATGAAACAACATCTAGCACCAATCCGACGCCCGACGGTGGACTGATCAGTCATGGCTAAATTGCCAAGATTTCGAAGAGAAAACAGTAACCTGTTTTCTCCTACTCAATTAACGAGTGATTGGTATAACGCTAAACGCAGTGTTTCCAAACATGGGGGCTCCCCCCCGTGATGGGTCTTAACACATATTTCTGGAGAGGCGCAAGCAATCGTCGGCAAGGAAAATGTCTATTTATTTGATTATTTGTTTTACAATGCAGGGAAAAAATAAAAAAAATTATAACGACCGGTTAAGGATTACGATTTTATAATTATTATTTATTACTATCCATACAAAAAAGGTGATCCACCTTTTCAATTATAAATAAGGTGAGGTTTGCGAAATTTTTGAAAACCAAGAAAGGGAGAGTAGAAATGTAGGATATAGAACAGATTGGGAACTACTGGTCTAATGTGTTTACCTACCACCGAAAGATCATGTAGGTCTAAGTATGATTTTAACTAGGTGTCTAGGTCAGTAGGTGGTATAATATAAAGAAACATAGTTCTCACTTGAATAGTTTTATGTTTATTACTATTAGTATAATAGTACGATTAGTAATCTAATGTAGACTGTTGTATGTAAGTTGTGACACTGACGTCTGATTCCGACCATCGGTAGAATATAAAGCAATATTTATATAGTATGTATTTTATATTTTACGCAGCTGGTATATGCGCCACCATGTCTGACACAACATTTGTTTTGTGTGCTTTGAAGTCGGGTCCTCAGAGATACGAGAAATTTAATGACAACTAAATTTAACAGTAGACAATTTTTTTTATTATTATTGCGAAAGAAGGTTTATCGGTATTTAATGTAATACAATAAGCAAGTTCGATAAAATGAAAACAAAAATAATTAAAACATAAAAAAAAATCTAAGAAGTACGCAAGATAAAATATTCTTATTAGCTTAAAATGTGCAAATATTATTATGTTTTTATTTAGCGAGAGAATTTGTGTTGTTGCTACGTATTCGCACACACGCCTGCTCACTTACTAGACTCATGACTGTCACTACTCATAAGTCACAATAATATATTAATATATAATACAGTGTCAGTCAGTGTCACTATGTCAGTATCACTCCGTCGAACGCTAACCTAGTCTCGGTTTATAAACAAATGAATATGCAGTGGAGATGAGTACCTAGGTCTGTGATTACTGTACTCGACAGCAGTGGAGGCCCTGCGTGAACAATACTGCTCCTCTGCTGCCATCGTTTATTGTTGAGCAAATTCCGGATATTTTGACTGAACACTGTATAGGCACCTAATAATGATAATTTAATGACAATATGGATTAGGTATAATCTCTAATAAGGGTATGCAAGTGACGTGGTACGAAGTTGAACAAAATCTAGTTTTTGCGATCATACTATATTGTTTATATCATGCCTATAAATTTAGTTATTCTCACGGACTAATATATATCTTAGTCCGTGGTTATTCTCAGATAGGTATCATTTAGCTAAATTGACGTCCAAAGGTCCATATTTGATACCTCTATGACTCTATACCTATATAAATTATAATGTACGATTATTATTTATTGTCCAATGACAATGATAGCCTTGCGGTTTGTAAGTGAGCAGCTTGTGTGAACTTAGACATTTGTTTTTATTATTTAATTACAGTTTAACACCAGCCACAACTATCGCTGGATAAACAATACAATTTTTATCTAGATAAAAAAACTATTTTAACATTGATCATTTTTATTTTTTATATAGGGAAAATACTAATGGTAGGGAGGATCATTGTTTAGGTTAGACAGATGTGATTGATAATACTGTTGGTTAGGTGAATATTTTAAGCTGTAACCGGTGGTTATTACTTATAATTTATAAGTTATTATGTATTACAATATTACATACATTATTGAGAAACCACGATACCAAATGGCCAATAAAGTTTAAATAATAGAATGTTTGGAGTTAGAAACCAACATTTTTTTGGGGAAAAAAATAATATACAAAACTATTGGTAATAATTAAATACCTTTAATACGCTTGACATAAAAACAATCAATACTTTTTATATTTATATATAATTTATACGACAACAATAATTAAGTACAAAGGTTCTTAGGCATCTAAAAATATTGTCTAAGTTTTCTAATAATATGTTTATACCACAAAGTACAAACAATAAGATAAAGGTTTTTCAAACATGTTTCAATTTGTTTTAACTTTTAAGTACAATACAAAGTAATAGGTAAGTTAATTCTAATTTGGTCATAACAAAGCTAGTAGCATATTATTATTCAGTATCCTACGAGGATTTACTAATTTTGAGTGGTTGGCTAATAGAATTTGTATTGATCCTATAACTTAAAACTAGTAAATCTTTATAGGACACCTTGTATACATATAATATGATATATTGTATATTATAATAATAAAATGATAACATAATATTGATATACTTTTTAGAGGCCACTAAAATCACAATAATATTGTATAAAATAATTATTTCTTATCCGTATGTCTTACATATTTATTATTAGTCGTTTTCATAAAATTTTGGTTGAAAAATGAGAATTATTTTTAATTGCACTTAAGCCATTTAAAAACAATACTGTAATTTCAATACTTAATATATGTCTAAGATCTTCGTACACATTACTATTCTTTGTCAAAAACATAAACAACATATTACATCTATATACAGTTGAGTAAGTACGTATAACATAAGAATGTTCACTGATATGTATATATATATATATATAGGTATATACATACAATTAATGATATACACGTGTCCCATAATACAAACACCAATCCTTCCCAAGTGGATAGTCCAAATAATAACAACAATAAAAATTAATCGTATACCAATAACATAATAAGGTGCTGCATGATTATTGATAAGAGTATGTACTAATAATTAGTCAATAGGTACGAGAAATATTTTTTAAAAATTGAGTTTCAATCAAGTGTTAGCTACTTAATATTTTTTTTTACGGGTATAGTTGCTCTCAGGCATAACGAATAACCAGTAAATAAATTATGATGTCTAATCCATACATGATTAATACTATGTGTAATAATATTTGTTTATAATAATAATCTATACATAATAATATTGTTTTAAAAATAATTTTTAATCATAAGAAAATATAATACAAACTAAAATACTAACAAGTAATACATATATATATATATATATATATTAATAATGAAAAGTATAATTATATTCATCAATATTTATACTACTGTTATTATGATATTTTTTAAAATTATAACATACAGAAGTATTAGTAAAATTCCCGTATTTTCTATGAGAGCAATACGGGTAGTACTATAATATAGTGTTACCACAGATACTCGCGTACAGTATATACAATAATAATAATAATAATAATAATAATGATAATAATAATAATAATAAACATTGTTGTGTATCAATAGAAAAAAAAATGCAGTCTATTGAATACACGAATATCACAGAACACGCAATCCCTATTCAGTACGCAGCTATAAGCGTTTTTTTTTTTAATCATAATACAGTTTTAGGTTGTCTTATAACTGTGAAAGTGTTTGACTTGTTAAACTGAAAGCGAAAGAAAAGAAGTAACATCTACATATAATATGTGAAAATGAGGGATGTAAATAATTGAATTATTATTATCTAGATAACTGTAAGGACAACAGAAATACAGTCTTGTGCCAATAAAGAGGTAAAATTAATGCAAGGTGAATCATTTTCAATCTAACAGGTATATAGAAGAATACATATATCAACATTTTGATCTTAGAAAAATACACAATATATACATTTATGCTTATGGTTATAGATAATCATTAAATAATACTTGGGTTAAAAAAATTGGCAAATACTTAAGAACTCTTTTAAGAATCTATACTGTTTGTTTATTGAGGGTTGGTTTATACATTATTAGAAGTTTATTCGAAAAATGTTATAATTCTGTAGCCTATTCAGTTGTGAGTGTATGAATATAATTTATTATTAATAGTTTTAAAAAATTGAAATATTATAACTTTTTTGGAACTATAAGTAAATATAAGAAGTATGTTTAATTTGTATTGTTTGATATAACTATTTGATTCAATTAGTTGTTAATAAATAATAACCTTTTATAGTAGTGAATTGTTCTCCATTACCTATATGTGTGCGATAAGTTCAAATTCGTTAGTAGGTACCCTTAACTGTCAATATTTATATCAACACAAAATTTAACATAAAATATTATAATATACTAAGTATTCTAACGTTAAAAAAATATTGATATGTATTAGGTTGCGAATGAACATATATAAACATTAATTAATAATTTAGTTTAAATTCACAGTGCATGAATATTAAGTTTATGTTTAGTTACAGAAAAATGTAAAAAAATATTAATAATAGTTTATTCAATTATTATAGGTTAACCATTTTCATTAATAATCGTATAACTCATTACTAAATATATTTTATTTAAGTGCTTCTTGAAACTAAAAATTATGTTGAGTTAATAAATTTTTTTGCAGATTTTTTTTGAGAATACTATTTAAATATAAAATAGAAACTATTATCATAAATGCACTTAGTAATACTTAGGTTATTAAAAAATAAAAATAAAAAAGAAGGTTACTAGTACTGAAAACAAATAATTTTGTTTGATCAATTCAAATTTTGATTTTGATTTTTAGAGATAGTACATAGTACACTAGATCAAATAGCATCAATATGAAGTTTTGTTAGTATTAATTTTGAACACTAATTGCACAATCATGAATCCAATCTTACATAGTATTATGGTAATCGCATATTCCCTTTCTCTAATTATATTTTACTTTATCTGGTTCAACGATGATAATTTTGAGAATTAATCACATTTGAACTTCAAAAGTTTTTACAGTTTTACTTTGGCTACTTGATATTGGGCTACTTAAAAAAGGATTTGTATTTTGTTTTGGGGCAATATAATTAGGGTCAAATGGATTGGCTGAAATATTATTATACGTGCGGTATACATCCTCAGCAGTGTCTAAAGAAAACGCACGACTGTGTGTTGCTAAATGTGGGTTTCTTTTAGGTGTGACCTGGGGTTCCATTGACTGTAACGTAACTGCTGCCACTTTACCCAACCACTGCTCTGGCCTTGGAAGTGATGATGGAGGAGTAGCGGGGGGAGTTGGTGGTGTAACTGCCTTGTTGTTAATATTCCATAAGCTGGAACCCGAATCAAAGCCTTCATCCTGTTGAGGGCTAATACGACTCTCTGGTTTTGGAGTGGAGGGGTTGCTTTGGGTTTCTGTTGATAAAGTGGCTTTTTTTGATATACTAGCAAGAAATGCTTCACTTCCAGAAATCGGGCCTGGTTTTGAATTGTTTTCTAAAAAAAATATACTCACAATATTATATAATATAATGATACTTATTAAAAGACTATATGATAAGTTTTTTTTTACTCAAGTAATATAGCAACAATGAGTACCATACAAATAGGTCATTAGGAAGTGTTTTTAGAACTAGATCAGATTTTTTTTAAATACACTTTAAAATATTCATCAAAACGTTAGGTACTACAATAATCTACAGTAACATACAAATTTTAGTTTTAAAAATATGTATGAAACATATTCAACAAAAAATTTATTTTCTATATTTCAACTTTAAAAGTTCATCAAATAATTTATGTAATTATATTTTGGACTTTGTTGTATGGCATGTGAGAAACAAAGATTTATTGGATATTACCCTATTGGTATGGTGTCTTCAATTTATATGTTATATACATATTAATAAATTATATATAACAGTGTTGTAAAATTACTAATGAAAAGTTTCAAAATTACGTTACTTGTTACTCAATATTATATTATTGTTTGTATAATGTTACTTTACTGTTTCATTCAAAAAGTAAGATGTTACAAATGAAATTACTTTTTTTTTTTTTAATTAATACAAATTAGTCCATAATGATTAATATGTAGTAGGTACATTGTTAATGACTCAATGTTATACATGAACAAAAAGTAAAAGTATTAATTCCTAAGATCTTTAATAATATTATTGATTATTATTTATTATCTAAGACTTTTGGAATTATAAATAAATTTTATTGATTTTTAATTTCTCTTGAATATCCTAGCCCTTAGTTTTTATCATATATTCTACATTTATAAATTGTTTTAAGAATGTGGAAAATAACATGTAACTCCATAGAAATTACTTTTAAAAAGTAATTTTGTAAGAGTAATTTGTAATTTACGTTACGTTACTACTTATACAAATGCTTACATATTATATAAATAAGAAAACAATTAAAAATTATTTTACCTATACTTTTTGGATCATTTGATTTAAATTTTTCAGAGAAATCGTCATTGGCTGTACTATTTGTAAGAAACGCCAGTTCTAATGACATTTGTTGACACATAGCTGTTACTTGATCTGTTGTTGACATTGGTTTTTCACTTCGAGGAGAAGCTTCAAGTATAGGACTCACTAAAATAAATACAAATATTGTTATGTATTGATATTTATAGTTTTGACTTTGACTCTGTACCTGGAGTATTCATCTGTAAAAGTTTATTAGATGTACGGGAATTTGCTGTTGGTTGTAGACTCATTGATCTCGTTCTTTCCAAATTAGAAGGCAATTCAGATATTCGAAGTGACAACTGCCTTTTGAATGGAGATGCTTGATTAAGTTGCGTAAACCCACGAAATGATCCTTGTCGTTGTAACATTGACAGTGTAGCATGCGGTCTTTCAATCGCATTGGTGCTAACTTTTGGTGTTGTAGGGTTTTGTTGCAAAGGTTTTACCGTTGTTGGTATATCTGGAATAAATATTACATTTTTAAATAATTCCGGTAGAAAAAGATTAATTCACTAATTTTTAAATTAAATTCTACTAATTAATAAACAATAATAATGTTATGCATCAAGCTATCTAAATAAAATATATACCTTTATTTAACTGAAGAAAAGGGGGAGGTTGTGGTGGAGCATTGAGCGGAATATTAGGTTCAGATTGTTGTTCAGTTAAAGATGGAGTTCTAAAACTGCCAGTTCTAGTAAAAACAGATGTTTTGGGATCATAGTTCATTGTAACAGAACAATCTTCTTCTCGCTTATTTTTTCTAATCAGACATTCTTGAAAAGCACATCCAACTGCATGACTTAATCGGTCACCCTATTATAATTTCATAATTAGTATAAATGTAAATAAATAAAAAAAATTTATTTTTATTTTACATTTACCGATTCTTTTAAAGCTACGAAACCATGACACATCCATCGACGAGTCAGTCCGTCTCTGCATATGTATGAAAATCCTTTTTCGTGACTCCGGTCTGGGGCACAAAACGAAACTTTTTCAATTGTTTGATCTACTATCAAACCCTGAAATTCAAGAATCATATAACAACAGTTTTATAAGGTTTTTAACAACTATTTACTTTTGTTTCTTCTTCAACAACTCGCAGTCCATCTCCTGATATGTAAAATATAGCTCTGACTGGTCTGCGGCGTGATGCCTACAAAAAAAAAATTTTAATTAAAAATTTTAATTTAATGATAATGAATAAGTGATAACATTACCCTCAGTGTTTTTAAAGCTTCTTCACATACTTCCATTCCTCTCGATTCAAAGACTTCGACACAGCCCAAATACTGTTAAATAAAAATATATTACTTAAACAATTGCTATATAGATGCTGTTAGACTATAATTGCTATTTCAATTATTAACTAATACAAAAACCGTTTTTTTATACATTTTTATTTAATATCGACTTTAATTAATTTCTATCAAATTTACTCAGTAAGTATTGGTAATTGCATGTCATCTAATTATGTGTAAATACTGTACATTTTAATTATATTATAATAATTATTAATCCTACCTCCACAAGGAAGTTCATTCCACACACATCTTCAGAACACATTATTTTCGCCTACAGAGAATCCAAATTTAATTTCTCCAATTCCATAATTTATAAACTCTACAAGTTTGATCTATTATCTACATTACATTTTGGGTATCGGCTGTATTATTCAAATATCTAAGATGTACATTTCTATTCATTTTGAATGTAATGTTTAAGACGAATAAATATAAATCTTACGATGACCTTTTTTTTATTATTAAAAAAATCGTTAACAATTTAAAACTCAGTTTACCTTAACGTGGAAGGAACATATCCCAGCCCGGACTTCAGCCTCGTCCATGGCCCACAAATGAGGCTTAGGATTAGAATGATGGCCTGGCGATCCGGCGGTATTTCCCAGATCTTTACGGCGTCTGAAACTGTCTCGAAAACTCCGCCGTAATCGGTCCATTTTAGACGGCGACCGACCACTCTATAAATTGAAAAGAAAAAATTAATTCGATTATTATTTATTGGCACAATAGACTTTCATCATAGGTAATATGGGAATATGATAATACACTATACAATTTTTAACACACCATTTGTCGAATACGTTCGAGTCACAAAATAACATTAAAGTATAAAACTACTACGACGATTCTCTAGCGGTAAGATTAATTTTTATAACACTTGTAAAAAACATGAAATAATTGAAATATATATTATACGACAATATAACACGATACAAGTTACCTACAGATCGTAATTAGTTATATTATTAATAACTATTATACGATACACTCTCTGATTAGACCAATACTTGAAATCCCTGCAGGTTTCGAAAGAAATAGCAAAATATCGCACGAAATTGGATGGTTGCCGACGGGTGGCTTTACTTTGTTGACAAATAATTGGTTGGATCGTACACACACACACACAAAATGTTTGAATCGAATGTACCTGAACTTACTTTTAAAATAAATAAATACGGTTCCGAACGAATAATGTTTCAACATTTAAGCACGCCTGCACATTTTATGTATTGTTTTTATTATATTCGCTCTTCGGCAGTGAATAAATGAGTTGGGCGAAAACACTCTATCTATCTATACGTTTTATATATTAATGTCAACTGTTGGTTGAAGTTTGCAAGGATTATATCCACGGATAAAAATGCATTAATTTCATCAAATATACATTCATCGATTTCATCGAATGAGTCGACACTTCAGAATTAAGATGATTGGAATATATATACAATTTGACTGTATGAAAAACAACTAGTGAAATTAATCTCATACAAAATGGTTCGTTTTGTTCAGCTTAATTTTTATTAGGCTTAAAAGATATTTTAAGCAATTGTTAAAATATTATATATTTATATTGATCCATATACCTAACCTATCAATAGGTACTGACAAATTCAATGATTTTATATTACATATTTAATGAAATTCATGAATTTGTAATTATAAATATAAACTTATAATACCTAATTACCTATTATCTTTTATTATCGGTTAACCATCTGCTATAATTTGCCCAACATTCGCTGTATAATGTAATAGTATACCCAATACTCGATACACCTTATAATATAGTTTCTATTTTCTAATAAAGATAATAACGCAACGGACGCCAACGGTATAAGTATTAAGTACAAAGTGTTAATCGTCTTTATACGTCGTAAACGAAAATATAAACACAACACAGCGCACGAGAGTAAATATTACTATTATTTATAGGACATAGGTATAAATATATAAAAATTCTAGCACGTCAAACAGTTATAAGTTTAAACGATTAAAATACATATATCATAATAATGCGTAAGAACGAATTTAAACTGTGAAAATCTAAACACACAAAGGTCGCCATCACGCTTTTGTTTTAATAATCTAAATTTAAAACCACACAAGAATCTGCCGCAGCTGTGCGACATACTGATAAATACTCGTAATATTATACGAATAATATTCGTTGTTGTATACTGTTAGACTAGACGATGGTCATTTTACCGGCAATATTTTTACACATTATGTATTGTTGTTCATAAGTGTGAATATCGAATATCGTTTCGTATTTATTTAATTACTTTAATATTATTAATATTACCAAAAGGCCCAAATGCAAAAGTATTTATTAAACACAAACAATAAAACGTGGCATTAATCGAGTAAAACAACGGCTTGGCTCCACGGATCGGAAAAATAGTTTTTGTGATAAGGATCTTATATTTTTATCTTACTTTTATAAATCTATAATACTTAGTCTGTAGTTCAGCAGGTGTTCTATAATTTAGCGTAAGACACTCATAAAGCGTAAGAATTTATTTATTACGATTTTTTAATTGTTTTTAATGACAATACAATTTTTTAATTCTCTATTTCAAAGAAGAATATATTTGTGGGGTACTTCGAAATATAAAAATCAAATTTTAGACGAATGTTATAACTTATAAACTATATGAACTATGAGTATTTAAAGTTTAGATGAGCTAGGAGGAGGGTACGGCCGTACCCCGCAAAATGTTGGTCCTGTACTTCGCTCATCTAAACTTTAAGTATTTAATAAGCCACTTGTCTGAAATTTGATTTTTATAAATCGAAATACTCCAAAAAAATTTTGCTTCAGGATTTGTCTTTCAAAAAAATAAAAACTTGCGACTTTAAATTACTTAAATAGATATTTTCAAAAATAAGTGTCTTACGTTATAAATGGATCACCCCGTATATTATGATTAGGTATAAACATCGCGGCGGCGTTCGAAAATATGAAGTGTCGTTCTTCAGTTTTTTGTAACGCGATGGGTGGGGACTTATGACGTAACTATCTTTAGACTTGAGAAAATATTCCATACGCCTAAAATATGTACTATAAATTATAATTTATAATTAAAATTCAACACAATACATTACACAGTGTCGAGTGTAAAATATATTGGCATAATGATAACACAAATTACTAATTAGTTAAAATGGTCAAAATATTTGATGATTAAATTAAATTAATATTCCCGTTCTTTTATATCGCTAATCCGCGTCTCCACTGCTCTAGGAACGGTTCACAAAAAGTCTTTAATTCTGGATCGAACACGGAACGAGACAATTTTTAATTTAATTTTTCTTTATCCTACCTACCACACAGTACTATATTATAATTTTTACTACAGAACGTCGGTACCGGAAAACATCGACCCTAAGCCGTGATTGTTCGTATTAATCTATCTATCGAGCCGATAAAAAAACGTTTTCGTTCGAATAACACATATATGATATATATATATATATATATATATTACTATGGTATTATAACTTATAACGAATGTCATGACAGTATGTTAGACAAAATATACGTATCGTTTATCGGTTCGAATACGATTATGTTCTCGAAAGCCCAATTAAATCATTAAACGTTTATCAACACTTGAGAGTTGAGATGCTTAATAACGTAATAATAATAATAATAATACATAATATGTGTAGTAGTGTGTACACGTAACATTATACACGTGTATATAGTTTTATGGCGATAATAATTAACAGCATACAAAACAAAGCAGACAACATGCAGGACCCGAAGTGACAATTAAGTATAAGAAATATAGTTAGTATTATTCAAAACGTAAACATAATATTATATACCATACATGAGTTGGTAGTACCTATAGGTGTAGGTACCTACTACCACTTATACTTAGTGGCATTTTCCGTTCGTTTGTAAGATGAGTCCAAGTTCTAAGTTGTTGAAAAATCGTAATAATAACATAACAGGTTAAGACGCATAGTCGACAAATCAATGTTACTTATAAAAGGATCTTGCGGTAAACGCGCGAACCATAAAATATAAAAATAATGAACTCGCAACCGCGATAACAACTTGTGGACGATCACCATCGTTCGTTCGAAAACTCAGTGCAAAAAAATTCATCATATGACTATATTTTGTGTATTAACTGCACCTAATTGTACGTATAATTGTACGTCCTAAACAGGTGTGTACGAACTACGAATAAAAAATTGCACCACCACAGAGGTGTGTAGTGTGTTGTACATCGGGTGCTGTTGACACGCACCGCAGACCATCATAAGTCAATAATATTTAACTTGGTATGGTCAGACGGTACAGAATACCTTATTCGTAATGTGTATTGTATTATGTCCTTATTCATAATTATTGATTCTCGTAGATATTATCAAGATTAGATGAAACTAAGGTATGTTATCTATAATTATAAGATCGCCGAACCTGATCTTTCGTCTGGTCAAAACACGAAAGTGTCAAAAAGCGATTAAGAGTAGGTATACACCAACTTTTTAAGAGGTTTGATGTAGGCAATTTTAATGAAACGATTTAGGGAACAATTTTGAATTTGAACCTTGGTTCTCGGACGATACACATATACATAATCTTGAAACAAAGTAACTGGCATTGTCGATTGTTGCGTAATTCGAGATTAGGTATATCATAGAAAAACGGTTCCGTGAAAAAAAGAACCACTAATAACTGTACAGCAATGGCGGTCACATGATTTTGTCATGTGAGTGGGGATGTGGCCGATCTTTTAACATACCTACACTATTTGATCATTAAAAATATAATTTATGACCGCGAATACCGTTTTATGCCCATATGGCCATATCTAAGTTATTATAAATATCGAAAAAAGATCATCTATCCTCATCTCCTTGGCCTGAATACAATACACTGTACTACAAAAAAGAAGACAATATTTGCTGCATTAGTGGCTAATTATTTGAACCCATTTATATGATACTAAAAATGTTTAACATAAATTAAAAATATTTCCTATAGTAAGTAAACGCTTTATTCAGAAAAGAAAATCATGCGTTTTTTGTACCATTTTATCTGGTGATGAAAGTTTTTAAATCAGTTCGAGAAAACTACAGTAAAAAAACCGAATATTATAAGTTGGATAATTCAAAATGAGATATTTCATATTTGTTTTGATATAAATTCTTCAAAAAACTTAAAAATAAATGATAGTACTTTTTTTTCAACAATAGTCAATAAAACATCTGATATATCAGGTGTTGAACAATTTGCTCTCTGTGCTCGTTATTATGAAATTTACGAAAAAAGTTAATTAAATCACATTGCAGCTAAATTAAAATAATTAAATATTGAAATAAAAAAATTGCCCTTGATATATTTATAACACAATTTTTCAATATACAAATTCTCTTTACAAAAATATTTAAAAAATAAAAATATTGATTTAGTGGGAGCTGTTCGATAAATTAATCTGGTAAAAAAATCAATTACATTTTATTAGAGAAAACGTCAGGACTGAATTTAACAATTTATTTATTGGGCTCAATAAGACATTGAAAGATTTTGAATATCTATACCACAGAAATAGCTATGCGCCAAAAATAAAACAATTCATATTTAGTACGATTTTTTTTAGGATGATTGGGATAAAATCAGGGATGGACTGGGTCAAAAATGTTTACTGGGAAAAAAAAT